GGCGTATTTAAGAGTTGACATTTTTGGTAACTTGGGTAACATGCATTAATGTTTAGTTGAAATTTATATAATTAAGTGAATTTAACAACAAAAACTTATTTTAACACTGCACAATATTTCTATTAAGTGCAATAAACAATATTTATTCTTTTGAGAATTTTGAAATTAAAATAATGTTCACTTACTGGTTTTCAAAATCTGACCATGTTCTTCACCCAATTCAGAACAAGCAAATGCCAATGTTCAATGGGTTACAAACACTAAAAAACTAAATTCTCAATTTTTTTTTTATAAATTATCAAACTTCAAACCTTTCTAATTCAGAAAACATCCAAAATGATAACATTATTCTTATTTGAATTTTTCAATGCTTTTCCCCTTTTTCATGGAATGTGCCCATTTGACTTAATAATGTTGAATAGTTTTCAATTCACCATATATTCGTTTAGAGGAACCGTAAAAAATTACCAGACTATTATTGACGACAATGATGCTTAATTAATGTTTATAATTTGTATACTGTCATTGGACAAAGAAGAAAATGCATTTGACTTAATGTTGAATAGTTTTCAATTCACCATATATTTGTTTAGTGGAACCGTAAAAAATTGCCATACTAATATTGACGACAATGATGCTTACTTAATGTTTATAATTTGTATACTGTCATTGGACAACGAAAAAAATGCATTTGACTTAATAACATTGAATAGTTTTCGATTCACCATATATTCGTTTAGAGGAACCGCAAAAAATTGCCATACTATTATTGACGACAATGATGCTTAATTAATGCTTATAATTAGCATACTGTCATTGAACAAAGAAAAAAATGCATCTGACTTAATAATGTTGACTAGTTTTCAATTCACCATATATTCGTTTAGAGGAACAGTAAAAACTTGCTATACTATGATTGACGAGAATGATGATTAATTAATGTTTATAATCTGTATTAATTGAAATCTAAAAAAAAACAATCTGCTATGAACCAAAATAAGTCGTGAAAAGATACTTATTCTTGTTAGAAATATTATTATTATTCCCAATATTATTATTGATACCAATGGCTTAATTAATGTAATATATATTAACAAAAATAAAAAAGATAAGCTACGTACTTAAAAAGTAAATTTAATGGAGAAAAGATTAATGGGAAATTGTTTTAGGGGAAACTAGTTATAATAGTTAGAAACTTAGTTATAATAGTTAACAAATATACTCTTATGTAGGTACAAAGTATGTTTTGAGTAACTTTTGTGTCAATTACAGCAGCACCAATACTGTACATATTTGTGATACATTTTTACAAGTGCAGGTGAAAAGAGCTTAATTGTGATACATTTTAAATATCGTGAGATGCCTCGAATACATTATTATTACAGATGATACTGAATACTTTTTATCTTTATTTTGATAAGATGAACTACTAAATGCGTGCTTTGCTTAATACCTTTAAGCCACCGAGAAAAGCAACAAAATATAACAAATAAAGAAGCATTAGAATTATTTTAGCTTTATTATTTGTCTTACTGTTTGGAGCACGATCTTGTAATGTCTTTCAGTGCTGATTTATTAATACTTACTTTTTTCACCCTGTACTGATAATGGGTATTTAGCTAGTATATAATAGAAATTTTTTAAAAAAAGCAATACTTTTTAACCTGATCACCTGTTCATCCAGAGCACTAAAGTGAATCAAATTGTCCTAGGAGTGCTGTTAAATGCTCTTTAAAGCCCATTAAAAGTTAATTGTGAAAAATAAATAGTTATTCAGAAAATTTTGTATGCTATTGTGTTACATATTAGAATTTCACTGTATTAGTGAAACAGTATTAGCAGCAAACCTATGCTCCTTTTTAAGTTGAGCGCTTAGGATAATTATTAATGGGTTTTGTTACAATGATAAGTAAATATAATAATTTGAATTTTGAGGTTATAATTAATATATAAGGTTTTATAATTGCATATGTTTTCGTATATTTTAAGAAATTATAAATAGTTAATAAATAGCATGCATCACTAATTGGTAATGCACTAAGAAATAGGGGAATAACATGAGGTGTGTTGCATGTAAGAAAAACACACACACAAAAAAAAAAAGAATTTTAAGTTGAATACTTGTCGGAGTTACGGCAATTAAACGATGGTGGTCAACTCACACATGTTTCATTATACAAACATTATAGTACAACGTCGAATGGGGAATTAATATTAATAAAGAAAACTGAGTACATTTGTTGCGTTTTCCTTCCTTTTTCTATTTTTTTCTTGATCATCTTTCACTTAAAATTTAAAATCCACATCTGATATGAAATAAACACTCTATTTTGAAAAGTTTTGAGGGCTCATGGTTTTCCCGCCTTACATTTCGACACTTACAGAAAATTTGATTTGGCTTCAATATAAACAGCCTTATCCAAACAGCCAGCGCTGTACTCAAAACTTAATACGCTGTAAAAGATGACTATTTCGGAATTTACTTTTTTCAGCATTGGAGTGTTATTTTTCATACATGAGTATATTATTTCTGGAGTGTTTTTGCCGTCTTCTGAACTTTAAAAGTTATCGTGAGATAGTCACTATCATAGCTTTTGCAGAAATAACTTAGGGAAGTATGTACTGCTCAAAACAGCAAAAGAACGCCATAATTTTTTTTCTAGTAGTTTTATTTTTACGTACTATGCTGCAATCTTATTTTATTTTAACTTAAAACTGGCGTTGAACAGCCAACCCAATTTTGAGTTTACTAGTACCGATCTTCAACTCCATAGCCTTGTAATTTAAAACCCAATCCAGAAGACGACGATCAAGGATAGAACATAAACTAGCTCTCGTGGAGGACTTTCTTTGGTGGAACTAATCCGCATTTGAATTAAAAGGTAACGCATTTGCGTTACATGAAAATTGAACTAAATTTTAAATAAATTTGCCATTTTTTTTAATGAATGTGTATCTTTTTCAATTTACAGTAAAAGTGCTAAATATAAAATCATATTAGTTGTAATTATCCTTTTGAAACTTTAAATGTACTATGAGTATAAGTTATTTCAGCCAATATAGTTATTGCTCTTTTTGCATACAATTTTTAATACCATTATTTATCTTAATAGTTTTTAAACTGCTTAAAATACTTTTTTATTAATGGTGAAAGTTTTTACAACTATTATAATTTTAATATTGCATTTCATTATTTAGATACTGACAACAATGGATACCTTGACGTAAATGATTTTGAATGTCTGGCCTTGGTAAGAATCATTAATTATATTTCCTACTCACAGTATTATTTTCTTCTTTATAATGGAATAAAAAATTAATTAAAACTCCATTTTTCACAACGCGAACTCATAAATTCTCCCTTTATGAATTATTTCGTAATTCATCAAGTTATCATAAATGTTAAAGAAAATGATTTTTGCTTTTTATGTACACTTGATGATGCATATATCCCATATCGAGACATTGTTTTCAATGCCTCATTCTATAGTTTTTATAATATTCAAGGCTAATATATTTTATGAATAGTTTTAAAGAAATGATTCTTGCTAAACAAACAAAAAGATTATTTTATTAATCTAATCAAATATAACGCCTAGTGAAGAAATAATCGGCAAAATAATTTACTTACAACAACTAATAGGTATTATGTCATTGACTCACCTGATAAAGTTGTCGATAATTAACTGAATATATTTCATTTCAATTGGATATCCGCAAATAACGTCATCGGTAAATCATGGCATTTGTCGATTGAGAAGCAAATCTGGTTCGATACACACGCCCATGATGTCGCTTACAGGTATTCAATAAAATCTAATTTAAATCCTATGGTTAAGCATAATCACTTCAATTCTTCTTGAGTTGCAAGTTTTTTTTTAATATTTCATTAAAAATATTATATTTTGTTGAAGACAGTTTTTACGAAAGTAATTATTTTTACAAAAAAAGTTTATAAAATTTCATAACTCTGTCTTTAATATTTTTAGTTTTTATTATATTTCTATATTTATTTGTTTATTTTTGTATTTTTTTAAAAATTTACAATTGGGTACTTTTACTTCAAGAAGAAGAAGGAGATCACGTATACCCACAAATGTAAATTATGACGTTTATAAGCAAGATAACGTGTTAAGGTTGAGCTAAGTTTCACATAAGTTGGAATACTAATTTACGTTATGTTAATTATATACAGCGTCTTATCACACATCAAATTTGTAGAAATATAATTATTTACCGCCTACATCTGTTACCTAACTTAGATTTATTACTTGCTTATGACATTTATTTTAACCATGATATATTCTTGCTTTGTATATCTGGTAACTTCGATGTATGAAATTTAGTCTATGTTCTACATAGCATCGTGACTGTCTTTATGTAAAGTAAGAAAAATATAGTGTAAGAATTTAAATCCTTGTGAAAGAATCATTGTGTAAGAATATAGAATGTGTCGCTTAAGAGAATTGATACTTGATGGACTTGGCTTATTCGAAATAGAATTCAAAGAACAGTTGCTAATATAAACAAATACTACGTTTTAACAACCAATCAGGATCAAGATACGAACACTACGTCACTTGCAGTTAATCCATTGTAGACTTGGTTTCCATTTTCTTAGAATTTTTATAAGCTAATGTAAATAAACCTGTTTCAATGTCCCATGAAGCAAAACTGTTTTGGATAGCGATTGTTAGAAATGATAGTTCAAGCTTAATTAGGTAATCAAATTATTTTTATATCTTTCTCTACTGCAATTTAATAGATTTCGTCAGTGTTTTAGTTTTTTCTTCGCTTAAACATTAATTGGCGAAAACTAATGTGTATTCATTTTTGACAAAGTTACTAGAAATATTTAACAAAGTCAATAGTAACATGGCAATTAAAAGTGTAATTCACAAAAGTATAATTCATAATTGTATACAAATATTGGATACAAAACTGCATACGAAAGTAAAATTCACAATTGTATACAAAAGTATAATTCACAATTTTCTTGGAAAATGTGATCTTTAACTTGGAGTTCTTTAGATGCTTTAATTTGTTTATATAAAAAAAAAAAAAAACATTGTGAATTAGACAGTCAGTTTGTTATAAAAAATGTAATTTATTATAATCTTCATAAGCCGACCGGCCTGTGTAGGGGGCAGGGAACAGTCCTTGCATCTGAAAGGTTCTGGGTTCGAATCCCGGGCAAGGCATGGAAGTTCTTTCCTTCGCTGTACTATCTGTCCTCACTGTGGAAGCGACGTTGGCCCACCTAATATGCTGCCCTTGAAAGAGAGGCCAACAAAAGCGCCCGTATATGCCTGAATTGACTGATGTTAACACAGGTGGGCATTGGAGAAAAAAATGGAAAGAAATAAAAATAATCTTCATAATAGTAAACTTGTTACTTTATTTCCACTTTGAAAAATATTGCACACTGACAAAATTTTAAAGAATTTTATCAATGCGTTAGAGAAAAATGGCAAAAAAAATTTTTTTTGAAGATGTGATCTTTAAATTGGAGTTCTTCAGATGTTTCACTTTTGCTGATTTCAAAAATAAAAAATTATTGCGAATTGCGCAGATAGTTTGTTGCTCAAAGAGTATTTTATCTAATATATAATAATATTTTTCTCACTTTGTTTCAAATTTGAAAAAAGGTGAATAAACAGTGATAAATCTTTTCGAACTTTGCATTGGAAGAAAAGGGAAAGCAAACATAAATAACGCCTCGAAACACCATTTTTGCGTGTCCAAGCAGCAGCAAAAAATTTGCAATACAAAACCAAAATCTTATTCTTGCTCTTAAAAACTGGACGCCAAGCGATTGAAAGAAACTACATTCCACATACATTTCGAACTTTTCTTTCAACTTTTGTGAACAGGAAATAAACAAAAAAGAGTATAGCATTCCTTCAGCGTTTTCTTTCATGCTTTCCATGCCATCGGATACGTGGAAGATTTTAAAATATTGTTTTTTTGTTATTTCCGGGGCATTCTTTTTTAAAGCAGGATAAGAAGCATTCCTCTTGAAAAGTTAAAGAAGACTTTTATTCGCTAAACCCCCTCAAGTATTTCTCGAAATCACGAAGACAACAAGCAAATAGATCAGATAAGAAGTCACAATTCAACATTAGAATCTCTATATAGCTTCTTAAGCTAGTACTAGAAATAGCTATGCCAAATTTAGCGAATATATTCGAACAAATTCAAAGAAATGTTTATTTGTCATTGCCGATTTTTCTTGTGCTTGTCTTCAGATTTTTCTCTCCTCTGTTTAACCACTTTGAATTTTGAAAAAAAAGTCACTTTTCTTTTCCATTGCTCTAAAGATGCTTCAATATATCTAAATAATATTCTTAAAGTTTCATGAGTAGGAAAAGTGACTTAAATTTGAAGTCAGTTTTGAATGTTAAAGCGTAAGTACTTGTTCTTGCACCGTACTCGAATGAAATCGTCTAACGTCTAATCGTCTTACCGTACTTGAATGAAATGTACTTGAATTCGTTGAATTTTAAATATACACAGTTATAAAAAATTTAGAGCCAAATTACGGTAAGGAATATACGGTGTAAAAGTACCGGTACCTTGAGTGCCGGAACTTTTTACCGTAAAATCCATTTTTACCGGAACATGTTGCAAAAAAAAATTCTTACGTAGCCTAATTTTTACAGTAATAAATACTGTAAAACCAATGAATCCTCCAATTAAATAAATATTACTGAAAAAATTATGACATAATATTTTACGGTAAAAATGGATTTTACAGATGATGCACCCAAAGTACTAATACTTCATACCGTAATTTGATCCAGACTTTTTTACTGCGTAGATGTTTTCAAAAAATTTGTCTATATTTATATCATAAGCCAATAATTTGATCACCATATAAAAAGGGAAATATTGCTATAAAATAAACCTGATTCTGGATAGAAGTTAACAAGAAGCAAAAAAAATGCATTACCCTAAATAACTTTCAATCTAATAATTAGAATCAGACACAAATCTCTCTTTTTCTGAATTTTCATGCCATACGTTTTTGAAAAATCTGGATTTTCATCCTTAAAATATGAAGGATTGCCACCTGCTAGAAATTAAAAATATATTTTCACGATAGATAAGTATGTTAAGTATCAACCAAAAGAAAATATCAGCAAAAATTATATCACTTTAATTATCGAATACGATTATAATGGGATCATTACAGTCATTAATACATGCTAATCGAGATAATTTCATAGTAATTACCGATAAAGATAACTGAGGAATAGAGCAACATCACAGTAGTTATCTATCTCAAGCTTCAAATTTTGACTTTTCGGAAATTCTTCATTTTATTTTGATAGATATTGATTGTTTTTTAATATTATCATAAAATTAAAGGAAATTACAGGAATAACTCTTTACGATATCAATATGATTAGATGAAATCAACTTTTAAAATCACAAATAGTATATTTATTAAAACTTAGAAGGATTACGATACCAAAGGATGCACAATTCCCAACAGGATAAAATGGAGAGGATGGTAAGAACAAAGATGATTAAACTTAACAGATTACGCTTACTTGAGGTGAAAGAAAAACAGCTAAAAGAGTAAAAACTTAAAAATTGGTAGTCAAAAAAAAAAAAAAAAAAAAAAAAAAAAAAAAAAAAAAAAAAAAAAAAAAAAAAAAAAAAAAAAAAAAAAAAAAAAAAAAAAANAAAAATTAACAAATATTAATATTTTTAATAGCGTTACAAGCAAAAAAAAATTCTTATTGGCTCAAAACTACATTGTTTACAATTAATTTTGACGTTTTCAGTGCACTTCCGGTGTTTCGGAATCTCACTTCCGGTTTCAAAATCAGCTATAACTTTGCTTCTAATTATCGAAATTTTAAAAACAAAGCATTTTTAGAATCCTAAGAGTTCATTCTTTTCAAAAATGCAAAAAACAGAAATTCGAATTATTTGATGAAATCGGTCATTTTAAGGCAGGCAGATACCTTAAGTTTCATGAGTAGGAAAAGTGACTTAAATTTGAAGTCAGTTTTGAATGTTTACTTATTCGTAAGTACTTGTTCTTGCACCATACTTGAATGAAATCGCCTAACCCCCTTAAAGTACTTTAATGAAACTCGTTGAATTTTAAATATACGCAATTATGAAAAATTTAGGGCCAAATTGTGGTAAAAAATATACGGTGTAAAAGTACCGGCACCTTGAGTGCCGGAACTTTTTACCTCAAAATTCATTTGTACCGGAACATGTTACAAAACAA